CACACACACACACATTCCTCAGGGCTGCCACAGTCTACAAATGAGGAACCTGACACGACTGACCTCGGGATGGAGGTCATCATCAGGTCATCACCCCCTAAACAATCACATCCCACACGATGTTTTCAAACGTTATTTCCTTTTAAGATGTAGGTTTATCTATTTGTCCTAAAAGTGCAGGAAATGTCAGAATGACTTATTATATTAAAAAATATGTTATAATCATGTTAAATAATAAGAGGAGCATTTTTTTATTTATTTTTTTAACATGCTCTTTGATACTGTGGTTAGTAGACTATCAATCTTTGACCATTCACCATCGTTGACGTCTCTGAGCGACGTCACAGTATGACCACTAGGTGGCAGCGTCTGTTTAGTTTTAATGGATTATACACATCCAAATGCAATCATAAATGTATTTCATATTTCTTTTAAATATGATTTTTAAAAATATTTTTAACAGTGCATCAGACAAAAAATAGAAAGTGGCATTGATGAATAAATATAGGCTATTATCGACTGTCTATTTGAATCTGTTTTAACTGTAAGACAGTTCGCCTATGTTAAGTACTAATATTCAAAGATATTTAAAATTAAATGAGATGTCAAATAGTAGAAAATTCTAATAAAAAAGTAAGGATTGTAGTGAAGATTTGAAAATCGAAGGTTACATTAATTTTTTTTCTACTATTTGTTACCACTAATCATAATTATATACATAATTGGAATTTGAACGTGGACGTGGAATAATTAATATTTAAAACTAAAATGAAATCCTAAATAATTCATAAAAATGTAAGACTTCCCACAGTAGCCAATGTAGCGTTTATATTTCTCCCTAAAACTCCAGACAGCCTTTCGCCTCCAGAACACACTGTGCTATTTAAACCTAATTCTTTATTTACTCATTTTGCTGTTGGTACATTGTTCACAGGACCCCGCTGAACCTTCACATTTTCCAACTCAAATGTTGACACATGCTAATAACACCTGACAAATGTTAATGTTGGCCGAAACTGAACAGGGACTTTCTGATGTCCGCGGAGCTTTCAGGGGCTCGCTGACTAATCGCAAGCATAAAGATTTTTGCAAACACGGCCATTCTCGTAAAACCGTAGCGCAGTAATTCAGTAATTCATCTGATGGGGGTTGATATTTTAGTGGAACTTCAACTTGAATGTAATTTACGCGCTGATATGTGCCACGGTTATTTTGAGTTCCTCCAACTCCACAAAAGGAAGCCATTGAGCAGGGGGAAATATAAATGCACTGCGGTATTTCTCAAAATAGTGTTATATTTGAGGAAGCCCTCGAGTATGTGCACAGCTCGAAATGTCTAACCGCGAATATTCACTTGAGTTGATCCTCTTGTCTGATGTTAGGCTCTCCAGGAGCCTCTTCTTCTCAAACACCTGCAGTCTTCACATTTCCTGTTGCCAGTTTGGAAACCACAGTGGCATTCAGAATTCGGAGAAAAAAAACCCAGAACGGTCTGTCCCAAAATACTGCTGAGGTCTGTAACTTTGAATTGGCGCTTTGAAAACAAGAGCTGAGAAGCCTCAAGGCTTTAATTATAGATACCCACACAATGAGCAAATGAGGGGCTTCAAAGGAGGCGACGGTAATACAGAATTCTCATTTCTGTGTTTATTGTACAAAAGCCAACATGCTTATGACGGGAACAAGGGCTCTGGGAGAACAAGAAGCAGGACAGAAGCTCGGAAATGTGTCTCATGTGCTTTGATTTTGCTTTCATGGGTTATCATCACAGCAAACAATTTTTTAACAAAACGTAGCCTAAAACCTAAAAAGTTGTCAACTATTTGGTTCCAAACAAATAAACAAATGGGAATCAAATAGGCCTACTAGCATTAGGGAAATGTGTGTTTGTTGGGATGGTGCTCTCAGGCCTACTGGGTAAAATGGAGGTAAGGCAGCATTACAATGAAAAAAATAAATAAAATAAATTTACCTCTTTTATTCTTTTCACTTAATGTTTGATTTTATTGTTTGGCCAGTTATATTACAATTGGCCAATTTTCATTTTATATTCAAAGTGCCTGTATAAAACCAGTCCAATTCAATTATATAGGCCTACTATAAAACACACACACACACACACACTTGCATTTGTGGTTTACAGGGACTCTCCACAGGCGTTATGGTTTTTATACTGTACAAACTGTATTTTCTATCGCCCTACACCAACCCTCCACCTAAACCTACCCCTTACAGAAAACTTAATTAATTGATGCGTAAGCATTAGTAAAGAAAACCCGCTGTTAACAATGTTGAAGATGAACAACTACTGCTCAGGCTTTTAGACATGAAAACATATCACATAATCCTCAACAGTGGTACCTCTGCTTCAGTGTTACTTTAACACTCTGTAGATTGGGACAATATGCACTCTGAGCAGAGTTGATTTAACTCTGGGGATTTTGCTGTGTATCTACACTGGACGCGACAAAGCATTGCAAATCATTTGAACGTTGTGTCAGTACGTTATAAATAGAACGAGTCAGCAGTTTACTGTGGGATTTGTCGTGCCGCGCCGCATCCAAGACAGCATCACTGATTATAACGAGTTCTATTGTATTTTATTGCGACGTGTCCGGTGTAGACACGATGTAAGTTAATGTAGCTTTCTGATGCTGCGTTTTAATTTTCATGCCACATTATTTGAAGTAGCGCGGGCCAAACTTTTTTCTCTCACGGGCCGGATGTGGCCCGCGGGCTGCCTATTGAGGAACCCTGCTTTACAGGGACACAGGAAGTGTCGTCATAAACCATGTTTACGTTGTAGTACCCATGTCATTATACACATTTGTGTCCTCATAAACCATATATACCAGTACACACACACACACACACCCAAGGACCTATAGCATCTACAAAAACAATCAAAACAAAATTTACAACATAAAGCAAATTATATCTTTTTTTCCAGACAATTACATGCTGTTACTATATATATTGAAAAGTATAGCTCATTGTGTAACAAAGGATACAAGATACTTCAAAAAGGATTTATTTCTGTTTGTTTTTCTAGAAAATTTTCGGCAATTAATTCAGCTCGAACTACTTAAACATTTATTTATTGATATTTCTGACTACTTTTTGAGAAATTGAAAGCTCTTACATTGATTTGCACTTAAGGGGCACAGAAACCATATGTGGCCAATGTAATTCTTCTATATATAATACGATATATAAGCTAAATGTAGCTAAATGTCATTAATATAAATATATTAATAGCAAACCAGACACACGAAATTGTGGGAATTTAAATACATATATTTTATATTTACTTAGTTCTCAATATTATTCATTCATTTAGCAAATTAAAGTTTAAATTAAATTTACAAATAATTTCTGGACAACAGGCATTGGTGACTCACCCTGCACGCCACAGATTTTAGTCCAATCAAATTATTCTATAAGTGTGAACGCCCCGCCCCCTAACAGCCTTCAGCCAACTAACAAGTAGCAAATGTTCTAATCGGCACTGGCTATTTAAAATGGAAGTAAAAATGTAGTTTATATATAGTAAGTGCATTACCCAACAAGTACTAAAATATTAAAGCCTATAATATTGCATTTTTAAATAGTTTACAATTTGTCTTTTAAAATGACAGTGTTCCATGACTGGAATCAAAACACAATGTCTTTAGACTTGACAACATGAAGGCTATCAGAATTAATTTGCCAGGATGCTTTGAATTTCTTAATGCAGCCTCCAAATATCTTTCATGTGACAGTTTTCATCAAATAGCCTAACTCTTAGGAGTATAATCGTACCAGCGTCCTCACTTCCACGGTAAGTAAAGTAACCCAGTGTTAAGAAATCACACACAGCAGGTCTCTGATGGAACCGTAATCTGATGTTAATTAATCTGGTGGATTGACTGTCGTTTAAAAAACTCAACGGCGAGCGGAGGAGTCAGTCTCTGTCAGCAATGTCACAGAGGTGCCATGGGGCCCTCACCCACAGTGATACGATAAGCCACTTCAGCTTCTTGACAAATTTAATTTGGATTAATTTTTCATAAACTACCAGCAATGTGACATAATCTTGGATTGGCCTAGAAACGGACCGTAAAACCGTTAGCCTCTAATTAAGATATGGCCTGTAAATGCAGCGCGCTATCCTCCTCTGATTTCACCGTGATCGGTTTAGTTCAGCTCAAACGAGACATGTAGATGATCTCACAAGCCTTGAACTTATTGGTCAAGCGCAAGAACTCTTAAATAAGATGTGTATTTTAAGCCATTTTGTTTATTTATTACCACATATTTGCAGTTTCCTTCAGCCATTTATTACAAGATGGTGGGTTAATGTGTAAAAATGGTAGTCAATCTTAAACGAAACTGAATTTTACACTCTATATAATCACATAAAAGTGTAATTATCTGTACACACACAAACAAAGACATATAGACACACACACACACACACACACACACAAACAATAAAAATGACTATAGTTATAACTGTAAAAGACTGAAAATGCTAAAGTAAACACCTGTTAATTGGTTAATGGTAAGTTTCCTTACTATATAGGCCTATGGAAACCTGTAATATATCAAACATTACAAACATTTCATGTAATTTTACAGTAAAATACTATTAAATGTACCATTTTTGGAAGCAAAAAAGAACATAATCTTATAATTTACAGTGAAAAACCGTAAACTGATATTCCCAGAATTCTTAGTGTGACACTTCATGGTATTTCATTTAAATAATTGTGTTTCTTAACAGTTTTTACGTTGTGTGTTGCCATGGTAGTGTTTTGTATTTGTGTGCATGATACTGCGCACTTTCTATATGTTAGTATTTATCTCAGCTTTTGAAAAAGACTGTAATATTTTAAACTGTAATATTTACAGCAGAATTATTCTTTTTTTCTGTAAAAAGAACAGTATTTTTTATATATGGCTGTTATTTATATAAAACTATTGCAGGTATACAAAAAATGGCATCAGAAAAAAAAAAGAAGAATCACGGACTATGCCAGAATCCAACCTGCATAGTCCGCTTAAGTACCACAGCACAACACATGTGCCAACATCTATACCACATTATTAAGGTTAATAAGTTTTAGACTCACAGGCTTGGACAGGGTTTGGAAAGGTCTTGTCTTTATTTATTATACAAAGGAAACATTCATTGGCCTTAAAGGGGCCTTTGACATGGTGTTCGCAGTCCCGTGGTGTCTTTGCCACGAAGAGCCACAAACAAACTCAGATGAGCAAATGAGTATATCCAGCTCTGTCAGTTAATATTTATATCCGATGCCACTGCGAGAAGGAAATCTGGGACACAGTTGCATTCATTGTTCAGTGAGCTTTCTTTAACAGTCCAACCCACCGACAGCAATGAATGTTGATTGTGACCTTTGTTGTAGTTTTCAAGGTCAAACTTTTCAGGCATCGTACGAGGCTGCCAGTAGTGTTGGAAGACAAAACCGTCGCGTCTCCAGGAGTCCATGCTAAAATTCGTCTTTGCCGGCGGTGGGGAGAGGCAAGGCTCGGTAGGGCTCGGTCGCAGGGTACAATCAACGGTCGATGGTTTTTTTCTATTTAGCTCAAACTCACCGACAGCGTTGAATGTTCACTGAGGCAAACGGTGGCCTGATGGTGAGTCGACTTGACAGTGTGCGCAGAGGTCACCGTGGAGTAGCGGGCGGGTGCATCCCACCTCTCTATTCTGGAAGGACATAGCACAGGTCACCTACTCCAAAATACAACACAATGAATTCTGCTCTCAAACTTATATGCCCTTTTGATGGTTTGGAAACACAACAAACACAACATAACAAAAAAATTGACTGTATTTATCGCCGTTTGTCTTATTGTGCAGTATTTATTAGTGCACACTATACTTATTTTTTACATTGAAAATATACAATTAAATTTACAGGTTTTATAATCTTTAGTTGAGATGTAATAGCACTAAAATATTTTTTTGCTGATGTAACCAAGGCCACGTGGGTGGGGCAAAAATATGAACCAATAATATTTGATCACTTCTTCACTATTAAATCAAGCCCCGCCCTACATTTCTTCCAGTTCAATATTCTTTTTCACTTGAAAATACAATACAGAAGTTGTTGTTAAATTAATATACAAGTAATTAAAAATAGAGTTAACATACAAGTCATCATTGGTGATGGCTTTTAACAAACACAGTCTTGCTAACATGACTATAAAGCAAACACAGTCTTGCTGTAAAAAACGATTAAATTCAGTATCCACATCTTAGATAGCACATCTGCCCTTAATCCAAGTGAAAGCAGTAACAGAGAAAGCAAGAAAAGGAAACAACAAAAGAGAACAGATGTTATATGGAGGATCTGTAGCATATTCATATGAAACGTATAATTTATTATTCAATAAATATTGAAAAGGACCCATTATAAGAACTATTATCTTAAAAGTCTATTCAAAAGATGAGAAAAAAGCAAATACTTTAAAGGTGCGCTCAGTATTTTTTTGGTTTATATTGTGCTGGTTGCAATTTCTAACATGACATACTGACATCTAGTGTTATGGATGTAGCATGATGCGGAACCAAAAGCATTTAGTTACTAATAACATTGAAGAAATGCTCGTTTTCATAGTTCACCATGATTAATATATTCAGCAAGCGAAAGTTTGCAATAATAGGATGGTTAAAATAAGTAGTTTTCAGCAGGAAAATGTCTTAAAGTGGTGGCCTCCATGAGGCGACCCACTCCATGTAAAATAAAACAGCTTTTATTGGGCTACTGATATGCCTTTTAAAATCACATTTACTTTTGTTTAGTACTATTTCTATTTGTGTAAAACTTTTAACAAGGAAAAAAAAATAATGAGTGCACCTTTAAAGGGATAGTTCTCCAAAAAATGAAAATTCTGTCATCATTTATTCACACCATGTTGTTCCAAATCTGTATGCATTTCAAAAAATGTTGGTAACCAAGCAGATGCTGGTAGCCATTGACTTCCATTGTATTTTTCATATAAGTCTAGAATCTGTCTGGTTACCAACATTCTTCAAAATATTTTTTTGTGTGTTCAACTGAAGAAAGAAACTCATACAAGTTTGGAACAACTTGATGGCGAGTAATCAGAATTTTCATTTTTGGGTGAATCTCTTTAAGCCAGTTGACAAATTATCAACCTATATCTGTAGACGTGCCCTTTGCCATCTGAACATCAACGCTCACCTTTACAGTGGTGCAGGACAGGGTCAGTCGCCAGGAGTGATTTGGCCTCCCACCTCATCCAGTGTATCTGCTGAACCAACTTTGGAAACTGCAAAGACACCCACACATACATGCACACATAAAGAAAGAGATTGAGAGTGGTGAAAACGAATCTGTACATTAAACAGATGATGGGTGTGAATCAAACAGCTAACCGCACCCCTACCCCCACGCAAATGATACACACTAGGGTTGTAACGATATACCGGTGTGACGGTTTATCACGGTTTGAGCGTGCACGGTTATCATACCGTAAACATTTGCATATCTACGTTTTTTTAAAAAATGAATGAAAAAAAATCTCACCCCCGCATATGCAACTTATTTCCGCTCGGCTGCTTCACTCTGCATTCACTTGGCTGCTTACACGCACGTGCAGCGGAGAAAATGACAGAGACTGAGATAATATTTCATCTCCATCCCCGCCGAAAAAAAAAGTTAAAATCTGCAGTATGGGAATACTTCGGATATTAAAAAAAACCAAAAACAAACGTGGGGTTGTCCTTGAGGACGGATCCAATTTGCAAAAAATGTGAACGCAAAGTGGCTGCAAAAGCAGGCAATACATCCAACATATTCGCTCATATTTGCGGACACCATCCCTCCATGCAGATAAAGGTGTGTCGCATTAATAACAAGTTATAAGTTAAGGCCGTATGATTTCCGTGATGCAGAGGGAATCCCGGTGCAGTCGTGAACATGGAATTTACAGTATAACGAGGATGTCAAGTAAAACGCGCAATCTGATGGATGGATAAATCAAAAGTAGATATGATATGTGTCTGTGAATATTTATGCGCAAAGAGACAGCTATATAAATAATCTGCTTGTTTCTGCATGTCTCTGAGGGGCGCCGTTTTATCTACTGCATACTGAAGTAGCCTACGCATGACGCTAATGGTGTGTTCAGCGTCTACATAAACATGAACATCAGCAGAGCTGCTCTGAGAGAAAACGTAAATAAACATTTCCTAGTTTTATTTGAGAAAAACCATTGTCAAATACACTCTGAAACTCAAAGGTCCGCTACAACCCGTCAAAATAAACGTTCGATTTAATTTGAAATTATGACAGAAATATATTAGCATTGTACAATGTACTTCAAAGTTATAATAACAATAATAATATTCTTTATAATAAAATTATTTAAACATTGTTTTCAAGGAATATCATGTTTGTCCATGTTTAAACTTTGCCAAAAATAAAAGGAGTTGTAAATTTTCATTTGATAATTTAAAACATGATTAAAATGTTAAAGTGTGATATAGATATACATATGGTGTACAGCTTTATTTTGTATTGTTTTTTTAATTAATACATTTTTTCAGAAGGGAGACTTCAATACTTTCATTAAAATGGTTTCAAGTTTGTTGTAATAAAGGATTTGTTCACTCAAATAACTTGTTCTTGTTCTTTTAAGAATTGTTCTGATAAGAATTATTGTTTAATATATACTGTGATAACCGTGAAATTTTTTTTTGAGACGATTATCATACCGTGAAAATCTCATACCGTTACAACCCTAATACACACACACATACTTTGCCACACTTTGACTTGACTGCCACTCTCTTCTCTTCAACACCCTCACTTTGATCATCATGATTACAGTAATTGGGTCTGTAAGATCTTCACACAAGAGGCCTCTATCAGGACGAAGGAGGAGGACATAACGCACACACACATATGTCACCGCTTCTAATTGCATGCTTTGGTGATACTGAAAAACATGGCTTCCTCACATATCAGGCAAACAAAAATATCTGCACTGATGTACACTAGCCATGCAGCCTTTCAAAGCCCAAAAAACGGTGTGCGTGTGTTTGGATGAATGGCCAACTGAAGCTTACTGACAGACAGGAAGCCCGCAGGCCTGTCAAAAGGATGCGCAAATTTTTCATACAAAATAGCATTGTGGATATATATTAGCATGCTAGGATAGCTTTTCAATAACCTTAAAAATCGTTCCATCATGGACACCTGAAGCCATGAAATTTTTTTTGTCCGTTTCACACATTTTTGGGATTGTGAAACATTATGAGATTGATTTTATCTGCGGTTGCTTGCATAAACACCATCTCGCAATGTCATAGCACATGCACAACAAACAAACAGTATAAAGTAGTGATGTCCGGTTCGCGAATGAATCGTTCAATTTAACTGGTTCTTCTTAGTGAACCGGTTGAACCAGTTCACCAAATCGGACTGAATCGTTTGAAACGGTTCGCGTCTCCAGTAAGCACTAATCCACAAATTACTTAAATTATTCACTTTTTAATGTGGCTGGCACTCCCTCTGAGTCGAAAATAAACCAATATCCCGGAGTAATTCATTTACTCAAACAGTACACTGACTGAACTGCTGTGAAGAGAGAACTGATGATGAACACGAGCAGAGCAGCATGTGTGCAGTGAGCTGGATAACGAACGTACACACCCACTGCTGGAGCGGTTCTCGTTCTCGAGTCAAGAACCGGTTGCATCGGTTTTCGGATCACCAGTACACTGAACCGAGAACCGTTTCTTTCGGACACGTCCGATTTGAGAACCGATGAGCTGATGATACTGCGCATGCGTGATTCAGCGACAGCGTGTGTGATCTGAACTACCGAACCGAACAGTAATGACTGTCACAGCACAGCAGCACCGCCCGCCACAGGTGTCTGAACTCTGAACCGGACAACTGATGCCATCGTGAGCGCGGGTGAAACGAGGATAATGGGCCAATCCGGCGAAACGTAAGTTTACTTAATTACAAATAAACCGTAATGGATTATACATAGTAAGTGGAGCATAGTTTCTGCGCTGATGAAGACTAATTTATTGACGTCATAACTGTAAAACATCCTAGTTTGCAGATCACTGCCTGTATATGTGTTGATGCTTTAGATACAAAAATCCAAATTGTAAGAAACGTATCAGATTAGATAATATAAATATATTTTATTTTACTTTTTTTAAAAAGATGAATGTGTCCTAATCTGTGTACTTTGTTCAGTTGAAGATTCTGTTAGGTTATAGGCCAAAGGGGTTTGTCAGGGAAGTTGGACAACGAGGACTCTATGTTTAATAGGAATAAGGGATGATTTATGAATTACATGTACTGTAATTTTTTATTTGATATCATTACTTCATCGCGAATGACGTCATTACGTTAGGGCGTAAAAGAACTGATGAACCGGTTCATTGAAATGAACTGCCCGGAAGAACCGGTTTGCATCAACTTCACATCACTAGTATAAAGGGGAGGAGACGAACCAGGGAAAATATGGAAGTCTCTTTGTTAAATTAAAAGAGCCCCTTTGAAAAAGAAATTATTTGAGAAAGTGACAAGCGATAAAAGCTATCTTCTAAAAAGTTGTTAATTGGGACAGTGTACCTCTATTTAAATTATGTCAGTAACTGACATAGAAGTCAGTTTATATTTCATGCTTATTTAATTATTTCCAAATGTTCTGTTAAAGACTTTTAATTTGAAACTGCTTAGGAAAGAGCTGTTTTAGTAGAGACTTTCATTATGACAAGCAGCCATAGTGACTCTACTAAGAAGTCTGCACCACATGTTAAGAAGCAGAGTGTTCTACATTTCTAATGTATATTAAACTTCATCTAGTCATCTAAAGTTACAGAAGATGTCCCAAGATGCAAGATTAAGTTCTCCTGCAGTAATAAGCAGCTAATTAATTCTCATGGCATGTTGAGTTGGACAAGGTGACCAGATTTCTGAAATGAAAACTGGGGACATTTCCTAGTTCAGTGGTCAAAATATCACAATCTCACTTGTGATTATCAACAAATTCTACAAATTAAAAAATGGGGACTATATATTTTTGTATGCTTTTTCATTTTTGTGGGTTCCATATATTAATATCATAATTAATCATTACAGCGATGTATGAGGATCAAACCCTAGTTTTTTAATACAATACACCAAAAATCACACTATGAAAATATAAATAGTAACCTTTGCAAATAGCAAACATCAGCACTCGCAGCGCCCTCTGCTAGTGAAAATAATCACAATCATACATTTGCAAGCTGGCTAAATTGGTCGGGCTTTTACAGTGTATTTGCGGGTTGTTTTGAATGTGCTGTAAATCCGGGACATTTCCGGGGACAGCTCCAGTCGGGGACAAGACACCAAAAACTGGGACTGTCCCCGGAAAACGGGGACGTCTGGTCACCCTAGAGTTGGATGGTTATCCTGATGGCGAACCTTTCAATAAATTGCCAGTCTTCAAAGAATCTTTGTACTTGTTAAATTACTGGAGGGAGCTATAAAGTATAAATGTTAAAGTAGTCATGTGAAAAATGTATGAAAAACACAAAGAAAACAATCATATTGGATACAACATCTTCTCTTGAAGATTCGCAGTCATGCTATTTCATGCTAACAGTCCAATATGGCAGCTGTACTGTAGGAATGTGCTGTTGTTACGTTTTTTTTGGTGCGATAAAGGGATAAAAGCTATCCTCTAAAAGCTACTTTTAATTGTAACAGGCAAACTGTTTGTTGCTAGTTATCTTGAATCTAAAAAAGTTATTGTAAATCTTAAAAAGAAGTAGTCATGTGAAAAAAAAAGTACTCTTACGAAAATTAACCATGGTTTTACTACAAATAAAACGAAAAACCATGGTTACTACAGTAAAAGACGAGATAACTCGTCAATGGCGAGGAAAGAGTTAACCATGGTTTGTTACACTAACCACAGTTTAACCATGGTATTTGTAGTAAAACTGGTTATACAAATGGTAATCAATATGCCAAAAAACTATGCTTACTACACATTTACAATAACAAACCTATGGTTAATTTTTGTAAGGGATACAAAGAACATAAAGAAAATCAAGAATCATACAGGGCCGAACATGTTTTCTTGAAGACTAGCAGCTATGCTATTTCTATGCTAATAGTCCAATTCAAGTTTTGTATAAGATTCAGACTATTTGCTTGACCATTAAGCCCACCACTGCCTTTAATATGTCCTCTACCTGTGCTATAGCAACCCAGAGTGTTTCTCTACAGAGCTAAGATTACAAACACAACATTAGCGGCTAAGCTAGCAGAGCAGCAGGCGCACTAGGTGCGTGTTCTGTGTTATTCGCATTTAAATTTCCCTCAAGTGAGATGTGGGAGGGGCTTAGAGAGCAGGAAGCTAATGACAGTATGAGCAATAGTGGGCTCGTTAGTCTCCCACCTCCTCCGCAGTAGACACAATAATTTTTCTGGATTATTTATTGCTGTGCGCTGAAAGAGAACATCCATTTGCCAAGGGTTTCCTCAGAGGCCTGCTCCGCTCAGCCTGACAGCCTCTACCGCTGCGATCGTAACATCTCAGATGAGAGATTATATACACACTTGTGCTTTTTTTGGCTATTTTTATTCATACAGTAGGTACTGTGGAGAGAGAAAATGTCAATAAACCTCTAGGCTTCAATAAAACATAGGTTTAACTGAACAGGAAAAAAAAAGAAAAATCATAGATTTTCAATGTCATGTCAGACTTTTGGATCTCATTGCATATCCTAAGATGTAGTACATAATATTTGACTGTATTTTTGATGGCACAAAGTTTACTGATAGTGCTATCGATAAAATAATTTTATAAATTAATGCTGCTTCCACTGTATAAATGAGTCACTCTTATAGTAAAACCATAATCAATTTTGCATTTACTATGGTTTTACTACAAACCATAGTTAAGCTCTAGATGCTGTAATAAAACCATGGTTAATTTTTGAAGTTTTTATGGTTTTACAGTAAATACTGTTGTAAAACCATTGTTATTTTTGTAGTTAACATAGCTTTTCTACAAAAATTATAGTTAGACCATGATTACTGTAGCAAAACCATGGTTATTTTTGTAGTTACTGTTTTTTACACCATAGTTAGACCATGGTTACTGTAGTGAAATCATGGTTATTTTTGTAGATACTATGGTTTTACTACAAAAAACATAGTTGAACCATGATTACTGAAGTAAAACTATGGTTATTTTTGTAGTTACTACAGTTTTCAACAAAAACCATAGCTAGACCATGATTACTGTAGTAAAACCATTGTCATTTTTGTAGTAAATATTGTTTTTCTAGAAAAATCATAGTTAGACCACGGTTACTGTTGTAAAACCATGGATAATTTTAGAGCTGCGATTTCTCTACCGAACAGAACTGTACATTCATGTGGTGTTCCAGACCCTCAATACCTGTGTTCCTGTTGTGACTCTCTCTTTCATTTCTTTTAGCAATCTTTACTACTCTACTATCACCTACTTGCTATTAACCCATTAGCCCGTGGGCATAAAATAATCACAATACAAACCCATGCCCCTTTCAGTCTAAAATTACACTATTTTCCAACCCCCTCTAAATTCATAACACAAAGGCGAGCCAACCTGGCCTCTAATTGGACATTATAATTGCAGATGTGAATTAATGGGCCAAACATTGATAGTGTAAGCACATAAAACCTCGATCCCCGACCACACACGATGCGGTTTCACAAGCATTAGCACATCATTACCCTGACGGTCTAAACACAAGTGAATGTGATAGCTGGCTGGGAATGTGATGTTGGGGTATTATGTAGACACATAACTCAGGAAAATTTCCCCCCAAATATGTTGAGGCAATGTTTGAGGATCTCACAAGCATGCTTCTTCATTTCTCTGACATAATTACAATAAACAGATTTCGCCCTCCCTCAAGGAGAGTAATTACCTCGCGACACACTGAAAGCTCTTCTAATGGTGAGATGCCACAGACAAGACGTTGTCTCCTTCATGTCTGAACCTGACAGAGATTTGGAGAGAGAGCAAAAAAATTAAACAAAATGGCTACGTTGTGCTCTTTTTATCAAATCTCTTTCATAATGTATGGTAGAAGAATGATATTTGAATAGACTGAGGAGATTTAAGCCCCATATCTGTGGTTTAAAGGAAAAAGTGCATGAGGAGCCGGTGCATTTTGGGTCATCTCTCTTTTTCTAACAAATCATTTAAGGGTGTGGAGGACGTGAAGGATTTTTCCAAGCACTTTGGAAGGAAGTTGAAAGATTTCTGGACTTCCTTTTGCAAACACTCACGGTGTGTACAAATTCTACACCTGGAGGGGTCAATCTGAGGGAAGCCCGTAAACTCTTGGCAGGAGTTCTGCTTTTCTCAATTCTGATACATTTTGTTAGAGTTATGCTTAAACAATTTGCCAATGAGGCAAGAAAAGTAAACTTCCTTTAAAAAGATATATTCTCTGAAAACAAGTCATAATATCTCACACAATTTTGGTTCTCATGCAGATGTATTGTTCAGATAACATTATTTGTTAAAAATAAAATTTTAAATAAATATAAAAGATGAGGAAAATGTAATAAATAAATAAATAAATAAAAAGACATGAAATGAAAATTAATGAATACATAAATATAAAAGATAAAAATTAGATGAAAATGAATGAATGAATGAATGAAACAGATACACATAAAATTAAAATGAATGAATGAATGAATAAATATAAAATATAAAGTGAGATGAAAATAAATCAATAGATGCATTTATGAATGAAACAAATGAATCTGGAGGGGTCAATCTGAGGGAAGCCCGTAAACTCTTGGCAGGAGTTCTGCTTTTCTCAATTCTGATACATTTTGTTAGAGTTATGCTTAAACAATTTGCCAATGAGGCAAGAAAAGTAAACTTCCTTTAAAAAGATATATTCTCTGAAAACAAGTCATAATATCTCACACAATTTTGGTTCTCATGCAGATGTATTGTTCAGATAACATTATTTGTTAAAAATAAAATTTTAAATAAATATAAAAGATGAGGAAAATGTAATAAATAAATAAATAAAAAGACATGAAATGAAAATTAATGAATACATAAATATAAAAGATAAAAATTAGATGAAAATGAATGAATGAATGAATGAATGAAACAGATACACATAAAATTAAAATGAATGAATGAATGAATAAATATAAAATATAAAGTGAGATGAAAATAAATCAATAGATGCATTTATGAATGAAACAAATGAAATGAAAATAAATGAATGAAAAAATAAGACAAAAAAATCAATAAAAGATATAAATTGAAATGAAAATGAAGTGAATGAATGGATGAAAAATACATATGAAACAAAATTGGATGAAAATGAATGAATGAATAAATAAAAAGTATACAAAGGAAATTAAAATAACTTCATGAATAAATGAGATACAAATTAAATTAAACAAATAAATATAAAACAAAAATGAGATGAAAATGAATGAATGAAAATACAAATGAATTGAAATTAAACAAATACATAAAGATACAAATAATTCAATAACAGATACAACTGAAACTAAAATGAATGAATGAAAAAAAGAAACATAAAAATGAGACATAAATGAATGCCTGAATAAATGAAAAAGAAAGTTATGCTTAAACAATTTGCCAATGAGGCAAGAAAAGTAAACTTCCTTTAAAAAGATATATTCTCTGAAAACAAGTCATAATATCTCACACAATTTTGGTTCTCATGCAGATGTATTGTTCAGATAACATTATTTGTTAAAAATAAAGTTTTAAATAAATATAAAAGATGAGGAAAATGTAATAAATAAATAAATAAATAAAAAGACATGAAATGAAAATTAATGAATATATAAATATAAAAGATAAAAATTAGATGAAAATGAATGAATGAATGAATGAATGAAACAGATACACATAAAATTAAAATGAATGAAAGAATGAATGAATAAATAAATATAAAATATAAAGTGAGATGAAAATAAATCAATAGATGCATTTATGAATGAAACAAATGAAATGAAAATAAATGAATGAAAAAATAAGACAAAAAAATCAATAAAAGATATAAATTGAAATGAAAATGAAGTGAATGAATGGATGAAAAATACATATGAAACAAAATTGGATGAAAATGAATGAATGAATAAATAAAAAGTATACAAAGGAAATTAAAATAACTTCATGAATAAATGAGATACAAATTAAATTAAACAAATAAATATAAAACAAAAATGAGATGAAAATGAATGAATGAAAATACAAATGAATTGAAATTAAACAAATACATAAAGATACAAATAATTCAATAACAGATACAACTGAAACTAAAATGAATGAATGAAAAAAAGAAACATAAAAATGAGACATAAATGAATGCCTGAATAAATGAAAAAGAAAGTGAAATTAAAATGAATCAATAAATCTAAAAGATAAAAAGATCAAAAATGAAAAAGACATTTAAACAATTAAATAAATTAAACAATGATTAACAGTTATTTTTGCAGTTTAATTTGAGACCATAAATCATTAGCCTAGTGGTCTAACAATGTATCGCAGAATAATATTAAAGGAAGTTTGAAAATAACCACTTGCACTGAATCACATGCTCTGATTTGAATGCTACTAGGTAGCAGTGGTAAGTTATATCTGTTCTTATCAATGTGGTACAGTATCATTTGCAAATCCAACCGATTCAACCAAAATTTGCATAAACAATTGCAATTCAGTCAAATGGATTCTCCTTATTCAAAATTACAAGCAGCTTTTGAAGAAACCGCAGCTGCACCTTGAAACGTGTGTTGAAACAAAACATTAAAAATATAGGAGGGTTAAAGACAAAATTTCAAAAGACATTGAAAACCTCATGTTGACTAACCAATAATCTAAATATACGTGCCTTTCTCAGTGTCTCTGGTGGTCAAATGCCTATTTATCTATAAGATAAAGGCAAATGTGCTGAACTATTTCCTTGTGTGCTCCTTTAACACTTTCTGCCTCTGTGTGTCAAAGAAACTCGCTGTCTCACGCGTCTGTGTTAGCCTGCTAGGACAGATGGCAGTCAACCTTTGATATCTCAAAGGCCAGGTACATGTGAGAACACGGTGACGCCCAAACTCACATGGAGCAGTGACAGAAGATGAAAAGAAAGCAACCAAGGAAACTGACAACACGTGAAATGCACAAGTCTCTACGGTGCTGTCGGACACAAAGAGCACCTGGGAGACAAGAGCTGAAACTACATCAATTCATTTTGAAACACTGAAGGCAAAAATAGCTATTTACTTGGAGACAAATTAAGGGCGAAGTTGCAGAAAGGAGAAGTCAGAGAGAAGATATTGAATGTTTTCTAATAGTAATCATTTAAATGCATAGTTAGGACAGCAATAGTAATGATAATATAGGTTTATCATTTTTCGCTGTCGTGATTTCAAAGGTAGTGTATCTAATCAAACTAATCTGTATTTTGGCATAAAATCTGTCTGAAAAATTATTAATAAATTAAATCAATTGAAGTTGTAGAAATGAGGAGTCAATATATTGCATGTTTTCTAATAAAAAATTTTAATGTTTGAAAATGTTATTGCATATTTAGGACAGCAATAATAATAATAATAGGCTTATCACCTCTTGTTGTTGTGATGTCAAAGGTCACATGTCCAATCAAACTTTTCTGTATTTTGGCATAAAACCTGTATCATATTTAATCAACTGATCTTGACCAAAAATTCAACCAAAAGTTGCTCAGATCTTTCTCTTTAAGAGCTCAGGTGACATAAAATGGCTACAAATTTGATGTTTCCACTCTGTCTCAGATGTTTCCTCTAAAAAAGAAGAAGAAGAAGAAAAATAGGACAATTGTTGACATACTATAAGAAAGATTGGCTCTATACTATTAGATAGTTTGATCATTTTAAATTAAGAAATTAATTATAAATGCTCACATTTATAAACATTTATAATTATAACATTTATAATTATAAATCTTGACAGCAGACTTTGGTATCCTGACATATCTGAGCTTTTTTTTTAAAATTTAGGATAAAAATGGAAGACAACGGAAGTCTCCATTGCTGTTCCTTTAATCTCATCACAGTATGGGAGAAACATTTGAGAATCTAATTCTGTCCTATGAACTGCTGGCTCTCCAGGCACACTGAAATCCCCTAAATCAGTTTTAATAAAGATTTGTTTAATTTGTTCAAATCACAGATGTCTACAACTCCAACACCCATGTGATGTGCTGAATTGCACAATGTTAAGTCATCCGGTTTCATTTTCCAAGCTTTCTTCTACTTGACAATTTGATGAACATTTTTATTTTGGCTCGCAATTTTTGTCTTCCACAAGCTAATATATACACAAGCCAGAAACATAAACGAGGACCACCCACAAACTGCTCTGAAGTCTTACAGTGCACAACGGACTAGAAATACATTTAATTTAATAATATCAATGTCAATGCATGAAACTGAGCCGATTTTATGTTTTAATTGAACATTTAAAACCTCAAATATCTCCACAATCTCCACAGTGGCATGACTTCTGCAGACCAGCCTCCATACATACTCATTCATTTTTTTCTAGACTTTATTGTGGCGCTAACCAGTTGCAACTTGTCGCCCAAGCTTTGGACCACCCAGATTAGCCTTCTTAACAAGGCCTTCGATGTTTTAATTGTCTCCATCCTCTGGGTGTGCCATTGACTTGAAAGTACGTCGACATAACAGCAGTTACCTCCCTCATTTGTGCTTGAAGATTTATACAGAGTACAAATTCGCCACAGTGAAAACCAGCTATTACACACCCAAACCTTATATCGAAAATAGACAATTCCAGCATTTAAAATGGCATTTTCCAAGATAAAATTACTACCATCTTCAATTTGATCTAAAACAAACCTACAGAAGTCTGAGAGACAGGCTCAAAACTAAAAAAATAAGGTTATACGATTAATGTGTAAACATTTTCAGGGCTAAAAAAACACATCTGCGAGGTAGCAATTTTTATTTGTAAACCTGTCTTTTGTGTGCCAAGGTCGTGGGTTCAATTCCCACACTGGTAAGCATACTAAAAAACAATATACAATGAATATAAGTCGCTTTAGATAATGAAATTCACAGGCCTACATGCACACGCATGAGGTAGAAAATGTTATGGCTTGTAAGCAGGAGCATTCAGAGGTAAGTTTTTAAGATGAAAGGACATCATAAATTCTGAGACGCTGTAATAAAAGACTGTCTCCTAAAACAAGACGCTCCACGGCCCCTGATAGTCTGTAATTTACAATGACAATATCAGGGACAGTCACGAAGCAGGAGGCAATGTGCAGGGTAGCGGGAGAACATAGCCTTGTTTTTCCTACTTTAATAATTCATCTTTTGTCTTAGAAGCGTTCATCTTCTTAGCATATCCAAACAAACTGTTTCCCCTCGAAATCTTCAAATGATCCATTAAAACGAGCTAATTTAAGAGCAACAACTATATTCAGGCTGCAAAACACAGGACGCCGAAAGAAAACAGAAGAGGGTGCGATCACCCCCTCATAATATGCAAAGTTTCACCCTGAGGTATTAATCTGTTTCCATTGTAGCTAAGCGCAGATTGCTATCAAGCTCCATTTGTCATTGACAGTGAGGTTAATGACCCTGAACTCGCGTGAGCAGCTCCTGGGCAGCAAAGACACAAGGTGGTAAGTAACTCAATATATTTTCCCACAGCAGCATTAACGGCTACAAATTTGCTAGGCAAATTGAGTGTGATGAGCACATTTTATACCGCTTTGGCTCGTGGTTGTACCGACTTAATCTCTTTGGCTCGTGGTTGTACCGACTTAATCTCTTTGAGACCATTTATCTCTCGAAATGCATTACGGGCAAGGAGGGCCTGTTGTAGCATTGCTCGTTTGATCAATTTTGGATTACAATGTTGCTTGTTTGGACTAGACATCTTGACCTAGTGCTTTGCTTATATGGAGAATATCAATATCTAGTTCAAAAATACATGGCAGTTTCCTTGTGTACAAGGCAAGCAAGGGTATGAACGTACACAAAGTTGCTATAGAAAGGATGCAGATTGAGGAGATTTTCCAGGTCTTTCTATCAACACAGTCATGTGAAGAGTCTTTTGTCCCTTCACAAACCCTGGGCTCTAAAGAGCTTTCAGTCCATCTGAAGGTTCAGCATGTTATGAAAGAAACAAGTCGGGAATGCACTGAAAACCACTGTGTCCAAAACAAGCCTCCACAGAGCCAAGGATTTCAAGCGTTCGTGAACCTAGTAGGAATACCGTTCTCAGATTCCATCCAGGTTTCCCTGAAATGCTACGATCATTTCAAACGCTACAGTACGAACCACCAAGATAAAGACACAATGTGGTTCGCCAGTGGTTTTTAACCTCCGGTGATAAGTGAAATGGCTGGCTGTGCTTATACTGGCAGGCAGGGAGGAAAGAGAGGCCAGATAATCTCTCTCTGGTCAAGTGCCCGTGGCCCTGGCACTGCTCTCGGAGGTAGTAAAGCTGTCCAGATTTCATGCCGGTAACTATCGCTCAGGTCCTGTAGCCCAGCTACCTAATTAGCACAGGCCCAGGAAACACGCTCATTTAGCATGCTGTAAAGTATTAGGTAAACTATCCTCCCACTTACAAAAATATACACAATTTCCGGACAATATTCAGTTCCATTTTCCAGTACTAAATTATGAATATGCAACACAGCCTAACGGTTAGCACATGTGCCATATTTACATTTATGGTCTGTGTTTTTATCCAAAGCAACTTGCAGTGCATTTAAGATATACATTTTGAGCTATAGGAACACTTCGACCTGTGGTGCTAAAGCAGGTAACAAATTTAGATTATAAAAATGTTGTGGGAACATTGTTTTGGAATATTTCTAAAAAGCTGAATTGTCCAGTTTTCTTGTTGTGATTAGAACATTATTTAAAGGTTACAAAAACGTTTCTTGCAACATTCTGCAACTTTTTAACCCAAAATATAACATTGATTGGACGTTTACTTTTAATATTCTAAGAGTGTTAAAACGTCCGGTTTTCTGGTCGTGATTAGAACGTTATTTAAATGTTACAAAAACGTTTCTTAAAATGTTCATCAAGTACAATTAACATCATAAGGACGTTCCGAGTATGTTGATCTCAAAACATTTTCTCTCAACATTATGGGAATACATATCAAATATGAATAAATTTCCATAAACATTACTTTAAGGATGTTTTGTACTAATATTTATATAATCTTTAAAAAACATTAATGAAAGTTGTGAGAACGTTCCCTGTTAGCTAGGAAAGCATGTGTTCGAGTGTGGTTTGCATTCCTTACTTTTCTTCTCAGAATTTTCATTTCTTCTCTAAACTGTTCTGAAGTGGAAATCAGTGCACTAACATGCATGGTTTGATTCTAGTCAAACTAGAGCAATAAATCATCTTTAAAAATGTTAATATAATCGATTTAGTTTGACTGAATTTGAACCAGCCACACTTTGTGTAGACAGACTAGCAGATTTAGATTTAGCTCGGCTTCGCCCAGTATGTGTAAATGTTAATCGGACTACAACTGGCCTCAACGTTGTGTGCTTGTAAAAGCGCACATAAACGTACTTACAGAGTGGGATACTATGGACAGATACGAAGAACCAAATACGTAACTGTACGTAATCAGGCGTATATAAATTCATACATTTTCATCTGTCAGCACTCTGCCATTTTGTTCAACCGTCCCTAAAACCCTCCTTGACAGGTCTAAATCCCACCAAGCTTGTGCCAATTACCACAGGACAACGTTAGCCGTCCCTCTGCAGTGTGATTTTATGAATGCTCTGAGGGCCATGTCTGCTAATACGCCATGTAATGCACCGTTAGCTTCGCAAAAACCAGCTAGCATGCTAGACGCTACCCTCTTGCTGGGTGCGTAGAATAGGGTGAGTGGACCTTGGGGCTTCCCAGCATGGGAGTGGAGACTTGAGGCAGAACTCTTACAAATAAGGGATAGATTATGCTAGCGGAGAAAGATCTAAAATGGCAGAGTTTTAGCATTCTCAATTAGTGCTTTCAATGACAGGCCCCAACCCCCGCGTCCAGTCCCACTTATTTAGAGGGAGCTATGAGTTGGATTCACCTGCCACGCAACAGTAGTCAAAGGCCGGAGGTGTGTTGTTAACCCAGCAGGAGAGGATGAGGCTGAGGTGCGAGAGAAAAGGACTCAAACGGCTGAGTGAATCACATCCAGAAAGACAACAGCTGGAGAGGTCGTCGCCAGAGGGCATAAAAGTAGCTTTTAAACACTTGTTGAGGCATGTGGAGGTCCACAAAAGGGCGGAGCGAGGAAATAAGGAAATGTAGCAAGTGTCCACTGGAAAAAGAGACAGCCAGTGTTTTTAACTAGTCTCCCGGCAAAGTCTGCTGAGACTTTTAAAAGGGACGAGAGCGAGGGAGGGTGGGTCCAATGGGGGATAGAGAAGGAAGAAGAAATGATAGCCTTCCGGCCATCAAGCTTTTCTATCCGTGTTACCTATAATCCTACAGGGCCAGTCTTGTCTGACCACTTGACAGACTAGAGATAATTTACTCAAGCTTTTAGTATGGATAAAGAATGCTCTTAGACTAAGTGGCTGAGAGTTTGTCTTGGGAATACTAACTGGCAGCACAATGCAAAATTTTTGGCCCTGGAGAAAAGCAAACATTTTAAACGAAACGGCTGATCGGTAACTCTGATCTTTTTGGATTTAGGGGCAGAGTTGTAAAGAAAAACATGCACACAAGGAACATTTAAATGAGCAGTGCACAGAAAAACAAAATTCTGTCATTATTTATTCACCTTCAAGTCGTTCCAGAACCATCATGCTGTTATTTTGCACCACTTTTTACACAACAACTGTCTGTAATGCTTCAAAAAAGGACAAAAACACCATAAAAGCACTGTAAAAGTAACTTTGTACTCTATATCCTGTTTGGTGTCAATACCTCCAACCAGCGACAAGAGTTTCAGTGAATAACAACTTAAATTTCTGAATCATATGGCATCAGAAGACTACTCAGCACATGAGTCGTATGGATCACTTTTATGATCCTTTATGGTGTTTTTTGTCCTTTTTGGAGTTCAAAAGACATGTTCACTATAAAGATTATTCATAAATTATTCTTTTGCATTCAGCAGAAAAAAAGCCCACTGTTTTGGAACGACATAAAGGGCAATAAGCGATTTGGTTAAACTGTTACTTGCTGCAACTACAAATCAACTGTCACTCTTTTAGACTACCTGAAAACTAACTTTTACATAATTCCAGACATCTTCATCGTCAGCAAAGTTTTGGAATAGCTATATTTCAAAATTAAATTCTTGTGCTGCATCTCTTAACCCTAAAGATGACATATTGTTCCAGACTAGCTCATAATAGTAGTCATATTGCCTTGCGGTGAGGTAATTGCAGTGAGTAAAATACAGGGAGTCTCAGATGTCGGTTTAACATGACGGTTAGGTTAGATAAAGGCACAGATAATCAGTCAAGGACCTGAGGCCTGAGCGTGCAGGATGAGCCGGAGACGAAACGACATGTTCTGCACCTGGATCACATGGCAAAATGCCCAACACACATACACACACACACATGCACATTTGCAGACTCTGCTGAGGAGCCATTTGAGGACACAGCATGTGCATTTCAACTTCTCGGCGGTAAATTGGTTACCTTTATCAGTCATCTTCGGCCCATAGTGGTCTGACTTCCGTGGTTGAGCTCTGCCAAGTCACCAGAAGAACCAGGCTAGGTTAAAAGAGTCCCAACACTGCATCTTTTAACAGCTTCCTTCGCTCTAGCGCTGTTTCTGGCGCCTTGATAACCTATGAAATACAGAGGGGGGAAGAAAGAACGATAAGGAAATAATTTCACCAGATGGAACTGTCTAAAGTCAGGCGAAAGCAGAAGGCAGTGCATTTCATTTAAAAAACTAAATTTGACAAGATGAGACGAGGTTGCGGATTCCAATCATTACATTAAAATCCTTTCCGTTATCTTTCCCGCAGCACCCGCAAAATGTACAAAGGGTATTACGGAGAAAAGTCATGACAGTACAACACCTCCCAGTCATCGGGGTCGTGACTGTGCGACTACCAGCTGTGTTTTTGCCCTGAAAGGATGAGCAAGGCTTGACAAATCAAACATTTGCCCTGATCTGGCCCTGCCCTGCTCTACATTACACTGTGTGGAGAGGTGACTTCAGCACAAGAGGATGACTCTGTAGTGGTAATAGACGCTCATCAAATCGCCAGCAGCTGTGCGGCTATTCAACACACTCTCCTTCTCTTTTTTTAGGTCACAGCTGCACAGATAAAGGGTTAGGCAAATATTGCACAATGAACGACAAACATAGAGCTTCCACAGATCTTTCAAGGCTGACTATACATTTGAACACTCAATGCTTGTCCTCCTCTAAGTTCTGTTTCAATAGTCGCCCGTTCATATTTAATTGCCATTCTCGCCACCCCCCACCCGGCTCTCCGTTCACCCTGCACAGCCCAGAACCCCTGAAAAGCGGTGACAGTGCTCCTTTGTTCACCCTAGACCACTCCTCTCCCTCGGCGCCCCCCATCCACCATCCGTTTGGTTGACAGGCATGCCTGTACAAGCTCGGCAAAACCGAGAGAGGGAAAGACAGCGTGAAAAGTGAGATAGAGAGTGGTGGGGAGGGTCTCTCATTTTCAAGCTCCTACCATTCATGCAGTTCTGTCAACTCAGCAATACCAGAGGGGGCTTCAAAAGGGGGAAGGAGATGAAGTGTCCGTCAGTGTACAAGCCCTCCGAAAAAAGATACTGTAAAAGATACTGTAGATTGACACTAAGAATCAAGAATTAAGCTATGCATCACTTTCTAGGATCCACTTTGAAAAAACATCCAAGGCTAAAGTGTTGTATGCTACACTCACAACTATAACCCTAAATTTCCTCTACATATGTGCTTAACATTCCATTTACAAGGTAGACATTCAAGTAAGACGTTCAGCCTGTATAGATATGCCTTTATTTCCCCTGTGGCACAGTTCCCTTCGCCATTAGATCGTAAGAAACCATAATTTCCCTGGTTTTAATTTAAATAGTCAGTTTATGGTCTGTTTTATTTTAATGACCATGTTTATGGTAGCCATTTATCTTGGGAAAGATGCAAATAGATTTTGAACATATTTATACTAATTAAAAACCATTAGAAAACAAGCATTTTAGACTTCTGTTTTTATGTAACAAAAATTAACATTAGCATTAACATAAATTATGTAGCCAATATTCGGGAAACATCAAATTGGCCTGTATAAATGGCATAGGCAGGCCAGAAACATACTATAGGCAAGTATGCAGACAAATTGTATGTGCTATGTTTAACAAACCTCAGTACTCTAGTGGACGACAGAGTAATCTGTTTGTGCCATTAAAGTCGGAATGAAACGTTATTTCTGTTCGTCTTTTCTTCCCCATTGTAACTTATAGCCGAGTGAAACAGCCTCTTGAACAAGAACAAAATGTAGGATGGGACTTGATTTTTTTTATCCATTGGGAATTGATTGGATTGTTGTTGTTTGCTAATTGCTACGATCGCACAAGTCAAGATGTTGTTGCGAGGGGGCAGGATGTTAATATTTTTAATTAGACATTACCAGGGCACATGTTTTTTTAATAGTGATGTACACAGATAAATTATTTATAATAAACATTGCAATTTTCACAAAAAAAAGTCAATTTTGATTTCATGATGACTTTAAACCATGACTTTATTCATGTACTAACTAGCTAGCTGTAAACAAATTGACACTTCAAGAGTAGGCCTATGTCGTATTTCATGTTAATGCCAGCTGAGAATGCATTTTATTGTGTGCTTCATTTTAATGCCAGTGTGTTTATGGTAGCCCTTTACTTTGGGAAAGATGCAGGCAGATTCTGAACATCTTAAAAGACCTTAAAGTGGACATAACACACAGTTTCTGTCAATCTCATGTTAAACTTGAGTACCTACAGAGTAGTATTGCATCCTTCATATCTCTGAAGAGTCTTTAGTTTTATCAGATTTATAAAAGACAGATACAGCTAGAGCTGCACGATTAATCGTTAAAAGATCGCGATCTCGATTCAGACAACCACACAATCTCATTTCTAAATGACAAAGATTCTCCCGTGTCTATTAAACCTTTGACAAAGTCTTACCGGATCATTCAAATTTGCGTTCGCACTGCCGCTGACACAGAGAGAGCAGTTACCATGTTTGGTTAAGAAACAGCTTCACAAACAGTCTTTTCAACTACACAGTATTATTTCTGTCGTACAGTCATTCATATTATCACAGAAATACTGGGATGAAAGTTTATAATTCAGATAAAAACATTGATGTCTATGGTAGCGCGACCAAAATAGAGCAAATCCGCGTTTGAAAGTAACTGCCACATAACGGTTGTGTCGATTGCATTGTTTCGCAATGTATTTAAAAAATGTATAATTGAATGAATCATTTATTCAAGAGAATCATTCAAAAACGCTGATTCATCCAGTAGGTTTATGAGTGAGTCGTTGAATCATTGATTCAAACAACTTTTTCATAATTTTAATATTAAATTGAAGTATTAAATATATTATATTTTAAATACATATACACTACCAGTCAAAAGTTTTTGAACCGTAAGATTTATAATGTTTTTTTTAAAGAAGTCTCTTCTGCTCACCAAGCCTGCATTTATTTGATCCAAAGTACAGCAAAAACAGTAAAATTTTGAAATATTTTTACTATTTATAAATGTAATAAAAGAAAGATACAGCTTTACGCTTCTCTCAGAAAACAGTTGCGCTCCTGGAGGCGTGCCGTGGGCGGAGCTAAAGAGTCACAAGCATGCGCAGCTTTTGCGTTGCTGTCATCTGCAAGCTGTGACATTGACATAAATAAAACAGGAACAAAAACTTGAATTGCTTAAATTAACTATGGCTAACGAATTAACGAATGAAGCAGGTCGATGGGCTGCTCTTGCTCTCGCTCTGATTGATGTGTGCACGCACTCTTCCGGGAGAAGTGCCCATACAAGGAATTCCGCCCATTATGACGTCATGCAGGGCCATACTCGAAAAAATCCCAAGAGCATGAGTAGGCCAGAAACCTACCCAAGGCATGTGCACTAGATAGTTATGTCTCAGGTAGCTAGATATAAACACGAGGAGTGTGTAGAAGAACACAGTTCATGCTAAAGCTCGCTATAGCTCCCCAAGTGGCAATGCTGAAGTACAAAGTCTGCATAGCTCGAAGCGTTTGCCTTCACACATACTTGCACAGAGTATGTTAGCGTGTACATTATTCTGAGCATGTACGGAGTGTAAATGCTCAAAAGAGAAATTGTTCAGATCCACTTGTAGCCATAAGTAGAGCAGCGAGACAAATATTTGGACTGAAGATGAGCACTCCTGTAGTGGTTGTGCTGATTCCACAATCCTCAGGCAATCCCTGAATAAACCTTGAGCGGAATATTTCAAGATTGTACTTAACATTATTAGTCTTTAACAAGACTGAAAAGCATTTTTAAAACACTGACATACCGTATAATACTGACTGTAAAAACATCTCTCTTTTGTGCTATCCAGATCTATCATATTTTATCACAACAATACATGTAGTATAATATACATATTTAACTATTTTTTTTCAAAATGTTTGATCACAAAGGCTTAGGGCATGATGAAATTCAATACAGCATATTATAAATTGCAGCTATGAAAAGAAGTGAATGCTCTGTACTAGGAAGAAATGTTGAAATACGTGACAAGTCAAGACAATTTTGATGACTAGAATCCCAAGTGGGTTTGACTTTAGGTGCAAGCAGAAGCCATGCTAATGCAAATCCCAACAAAGGCAATGCCACAAGTCATTGGGGGGAGCTTGACAATAGTCACACGCCAAATTTACTCCAGCACAAATGTTTTTTAAAAGGACTGTTTAACCTGATTGATGTGTGCACGCACTCTTCCGGGAGAAGTGCCCATACAAGGAATTCCGCCCATTATGACGTCATGCAGGGCCATACTCGAAAAAATCCCAAGAGCATGAGTAGGCCAGAAACCTACCCAAGGCATGTGCACTAGATAGTTATGTCTCAGGTAGCTAGATATAAACACGAGGAGTGTGTAGAAGAACACAGTTCATGCTAAAGCTCGCTATAGCTCCCCAAGTGGCAATGCTGAGAGTACAAAGTCTGCATAGCTCGAAGCGTTTGCCTTCACATACTTGCTAACAGAGTATGTTAGCGTGTACATTACTCTGAGCATGTACGGAGTGTAAATGCTCAAAAGAGAAATTGTTCAGATCCACTTGAAGCCATGCTAATGCAAATCCCAACAAAGGCAATGCCACAAGTCATTGGGGGGAGCTTGACAATAGTCACACGCCAAATTTACTCCAGCACAAATGTTTTTTAAAAGGACTGTTTAACTCAAATTAGGAGGTGACCAGGGCAGGACCACAGGGAGTTTGGATGCATTCGTAAACAGACCATGAAAACCTCTTGAGATTACTAGTCTCAGTACTCACATTGACAAAACAGGGAGGCTTCAGCAGTGGTGCTAAATTAATTGAGTGGTCCCTTGGGGGCTTCAAGTTCATTGTCCACCATGTCTCAATTAAACATCCATCAAACTGGCATCTGTACCCAAGCAACAACCAACAAACTGCGTCAATGTTCTTGTGTATGGCACATTTTTCAAACTGTCTCAGTCAGGTCAGAAAGCAATCGGCACCAAGTCTGATAATGAAACTGGCAATCCCACTATGAAACAATAATTTGGCATGTGCCACCATACAGATAACAGAAAGTAACCTTCT